AACGACGTCGCTTCACGTGACGCTCGGGGAGAACGACGACGTTCCCATTGCTCTTAAAACTCATTTCCCTGCTTCTCGTTGTTTCCCTGCGTCCTCTCCATGCTTCCCTGGTGGGAGGGACTAAACGCAGGGAAACGACGGCAAGTGAGATTAACCCGAAGTGATGAGATGCAAGCCATTGCACCTATAAAGTTGTGGCAAACTGGCAAACACTTGGATGTTGTTTGATAAAACCCAAACTTAATATATAATACCTAAAACATACTAGTTTTCTTTTTTTTAAAAAGGGTTCATACTTTGCAGGCTATTTAGCATGGCATTAACTGTACAGGTGTTCTGTGTTGTGTCCACTGCCTATTCTATGTGTGCTTTGGCATTAACTAATAAACTGCATGCATTTGGAACAGACCCGGTGGTAAACCAAAGCTCTACTGGAAGCCCTTCATGTTGATAAGACGCATAAGATCATCCAAACACACCGGCTGAGTATTGGCTGAAATCAATTAACTGTGGGATTCTATCTCACAACAGACAAAAGGATTGCAATGTATACAGTATAAAACACACATACATTCCCGCTGGGAGGGTTGAATCTAAGCAGTGTTTTTTCTTGTGTGATATTTTTCATCTAGCGGTGGTAACAACCTAAAACAGCAGAGCCTCAGTTTGCTCTACATCACGGAAATGCCACAAAAGCCTTCCTTCTTTGAACGTGTGAGTATATACGTATGATATATGTTGTGTGTGGTTCGTGTGTGTGTTTGCTGTGTCTGAGTACGTGCCTGTTGTTCTACAATTTGGGCGCACACACCACCGTCCTGTGAGGTGTCTGTGCAGCTAACTCTCTTTATGCACTCTGTTGACCTCCTCACTGCAAAACCCTGCTAAAATATATTATTCCCCCTGGCCTTTCATTTGCTGCTTGGTGTCAGACAATCAATTGTATGAGGCGCGAGATGGAATTCTAATAACTCTGCGCCCCGCCCCCTGCGCTGCTCTTTCAATAGTCTGCCTTGACTATTAGTTGGCCGGCTCAGTGGCGGTGAAATAACGAGATAATCTTTGAGGTACCTCTTAATAACGGATCTCCCGCTCGGCATTCCCCCCCCGTTCACCTATACAATAAGCATTGTTTAGGGTTTATGAGACGTGTGTGGCAATCTCTCTGTGATTCTCCTGTTTTTCTTTGAACTACAATGATCCTTTTTACTGAAAGGGTTATCATTTGCTTCATGTGTTTAACATGATTTCGTGTGCTCTTGTATGTTCTTAATTGCCATCAACCTTGCCAGGACTGCAGATGAAAATGATTCGTCTGTGGCTAAATCTGTGCACATCGATGACTCAGTGCTCACATTGATTAAGGAGCATTTCCCTTCTTAAGAATGAACAAAGCAAATTAAAAAGACTCATTTTTTTTTTGTTATTGAATAATGTTCAGTAGAAACGGAAAAACATAATCTCAAAAACAACCACAAATGTAAACACAGCCTGATTCACATTAATACATATAGATGCTTTCTTTACATCTGAATGCTAAGAAGAGAGTCACATTGGTGTGTGTGTGTGTGTCGTGTGTGTGTGTGTGTGTTGCGCTGTGTAGTGTGTGTGTGTGTTGTGTGTGTGTGTGTGTGTGTGTGTGTGTGTGTGTGTGTGTGTGTGTGTGTGTGTGTGTGTGTGTGTGTGTTGTGTGTTGTTGTGTGGTGTGTGTGTGTGGTGTGTGTGTGTGTGTGTGTGTGTGTGTGTGTGTGTGTGTGTGTGTGTGTGTCTGGAGGGATGTGCCAACGGTGTAAATTGCCCATATTCCTAATGCGGGATATTTGCTGCAGCACTTAGACGCAGCAGCAGCCTTCAGCACAGGAACCTGACTCTAGTTTCTGCCTCTCTCCCCTCCACCACCTCACCCACTGCCCCCCCACTTACGTTGAGGAGGAGAGGGACATCGGCTATCAGCAGGCAGTTAAGGAATGGCGAGAGGAGGTGGAGGAATGGGTGAGGAGTGAGGAGGTGTTTTGGCTCAGCAGCGTGTAGGTCTCGAGGAGGGAGAGAGGCTGAAATTATTCTACGGTCACAGTCTTCTCCCCCTCCTCTCTCTCCGTCTCCCAGCGAGGACCTCGGGTGTATAATCCTTGGCTCGTATATCTGCCGGTCCCCGAGACAAAGGTTATATCTCTCATCCTTCAGGACCACCGGGCCGCTGACCGCAAGAACACCAAACCTGCTCCATTATCACCACATCATCAGCCCCTGTGGAGGGGAAATTAATCACACCAATGACCTTAGAGTTTTTTTTTTAAAGACTTACCACGTATATTTATTCAATCTGGAGGACGAATGATAATGTATTAAGGACAAGCCTTTAGTGTCCTGAGTGCTCAGTTGATTAATGGCTTTGCCCTGTTCCTCACCCCGGTATAGCGATACATATTACTATATCAGAGCTCCAAAGAATTAATACACCGGATCCTCCTAGACGGATAAATATAATAAAGAGTGACCAAAAATCACCTCTCTCCCTCCCTCAGACCACACCTGTCTGACCAAAACCTCTCTCCTCCCCATCTCCCTCCACCTCTTTCCCGCCATCCCTAACTGCCTCTGATGCCGATTCTCTCCTTTCCTCAACTATTTGGCAGTTAGTGTGAATAAGCAGAAACTAGATCAGTCCTGCTGTTGGCTTGCTCTTAAGTGCTTCACAAATCATTCCCCCATAAATATGCAATAGGGCACCTCACATCCCTCCAGACACACACCACACACACACACACACACACACACACACACACACACACACACACACACCACACACACACACACACACATCACACACCACACCACAACACAACACACAAACACACACACCACACCACACACACCACACACACACACGCACAAACACACCACAACACACACACACACACACACCACCAACACACACACACACACACCAATTTTACTCTCTTCTTAGCATTCAGATGTTAAAGAAATCATCTATAATGGTATTAATGGTGAACAGCTGGTTACCATTGTGTTGTTTAATTATTTTTCCGTATTCACTACTTATTCAATAACAAAAAAAATATCTTTTAGTTATTTTTTCATTTAAGAAAGTAAAATGCTCCTTAATCAAATTGAGCACTTGAGTCCATCATGTGGCCAGTTTAGCCACAGACGTCATTTCATCTCAGTCCCCTGCAGGTGTTATGCATTAAATAAAACATTACAAAGAGCACACGAACACATAAAACACATGACAAATGACTACACCTTTTCAGTAATAAAAGGACTCCATGTAGTTCAAAATAAAAACAGTTAGATCACAGAGAGTATTCCAACCACGTCTCATAAACCCCCTAACAATGCTTCATCTCTGTATCAGTAACGAAATGCCTAGCGTAATGCCGTTCACCTTAAGAAAGTACCTAAAGATTATCTCTTATTTCACCGCCACTGACCACACTATAGGTCCAAGCCAGATATAAGAGCACCGAGCCGCATAGATCTATTAAAATTCATTCTACCGCTCATACATTATTATTCTGACCACAAGCCAGCAAGAAAGGCCCAGAATAATATATTTAGCAGCTGCATGAGGGTTCCAGATCATAAAATTAGCTGCACAGGAAACCCTCACAACGGTGTGTGCGCCCAAATTCCTAACAGACAGGCACGTACTCATACACACAAACACACACACAACACACACACATATATTCATACTTTAATACTACACTCAAAGAAAACTTTTGTGCATTTCCGTATGTAGTAGCAAATACTCTTCTGTTTTATTTGTTACCCCCCGTAGAGAAAAAACAGCACAAGAAAAAAACAACATCTAGATTCAACTCCACATCTATGTATTTTACTTTATTAATCAACCTTTTTGTTCTTTAAAGATCCCACAGTTAATTATTCAGCAATACTCAGCTGTGTGTAGACTTATCGGTCTTATTCAACATGGAACTTCCATAACTGTTACCACCGTCGTCAAATGCATGCATTTATTATTAATCCAAAGCACACATAGAAAGCAGGGACACAACATAACATAAACCACCTACATTTAATGCCGATGTAATACCGTCAATAACCTTTAAAAAAAAAAAACTAGATTTAATATTATATATTTATTTTTTACTCCAAAAACGATCCAATGCCATGCCACAAACTGTATAGTCAGACCATCTTCACTTCTAATCCACTTGCNTTTCCTTGTGAGTGAGGTTAGTAATGCTCCATCACATGTTTTACATCTATTACAGGGTGAATCTTAAACTGAAGCTTGACTTTAAAGCAACCCAACGGAAGTTTCATTTAAGTTTAGTTCTTTCACTCGTAGCTCGGGCTGCGGGGGTGCTGGAGACGGGAGCACGTTGACACGACCTTCCTAGCCGGAGATATGGCCGCATTTTACAATACACTTCCGTTGGGTCGATTAAAAACAAAATCACAAATCAAATCGCTATATCTGAAAAATCGCAATTAGATTATTTCCCCAAATCGTGCAGCCCTAATTTGTTGTTCAAAATTGTGTCTGCTCTCACTTTCACAATCAGTTACATAAAGAAGTTATAGGATTTTTCTTGAAACATTCAAAGTAATAATTTTTTGGCAGCCTCTATTATAAAAAGGAACTTCATACAAAACATACACACATTTGTTGTCAGTTAAAAAAATTGAACAAATGTTTGATTACAATTTAAAAGTTGCACACCATGCAATGTAGTATGACATAATTCATTACTTTTACCATTTCATCAGAAAACAAGCACATTTTATGTGTTTTTGATAAAAAAAAGTCAACTGAATTAAAGGTTACACTAACAAAAGTTGACTTTAAGATTTTTGAAATGACAAAGCTTCGAGTGAATTCACCACACAATAAAACGCCAAAAGTCAAACAAAATCATTAATTTTTTAATAATTTCATAATTCCTATGACCCTTACATTTTGTTCTATTTTAACTAATATCTTATTTTGTGTATTTCCTTGCAGACGGTGCGTCACGGTTTCCCTTACCAGCCGACTGCTTTGGCTTTTGACCCCGTGCAGAAGATCCTGGCCATCGGCTCCAGGACAGGCGGCGTGCGGATGTATCCTTTAACCCTCATCTGCTCACTTCCTCCCTCCCTTCTTCCCTTCCTCCCTTCCTCCTGTCTGGGGACACACTAGACACAGTCTTGCAATTTACAAGTTGAGATGCCCATATACGAGATAGGGTTGCACCATTTTTTTCGATATTCTAATATAAAATATATTTGAACATTTGAAATTTGAAATAATATTCAAATTCAGTAAGCACAATATTTGTTAATATGTTTTAAAATATACATTTCATTAAGTATTGTGGAGTTGCAGAGATATCCCAGTCTACGAATCGTATTCTTCAGTCCCAACAAAATATCTTTGTTTGGTACATATCCTAAATAAAAAACCACGCCATGATCATTTTGGTGTATTTTTAAATAATAATGAGAATTTAGATGCATAAACGCTTATAAAAGTAATTGCAATAAGTGATTCTTTTTTTTGCCAGTCTGAGTACTAAATATAACACCAGAACTGGCCTTAAATGTAAGTAAGACAGATACTTGTGACCTACACTGGAACGAAAAGAAATTACATAATTCACAGCAAATCATTTATCAACTTTGACATTAACCTGTAATACTGCTGTCTCCAGGCAGGGGCCTTCCTTTCCTTTCCCCCCCCTCCACCTTTATCCTCCCATTCCCATCCCCCTTTCGGCCTTGTCATGTCATGTTGCTCGGCTGCCATGTCGCAGGCTCAAAGCTGTCCGTCCAACAGCCCGTCCCCCCGGGTCACCCCGTCACAGAACGTGTAAGTGCAACCCAGGTAGGAGATTACACCCTCATAACTACCCAGAGTTCCCAGTGTGCCTTTAGGGGAAGCCAGCAATTATTGATGCTGCTGCAGCCACACTGCTGCTGGTCCTGCCGTGGTAATAGATGTATAGACAGAGTGATTTCACTGCATAAAGAAACAAAGAAATAAAGGCATTGTGGCATTGTTTGAATATTTGAAAAAGAGGGAAATGATGCTCCTCAGTATGAATGCCTGACTGTGAAGCAAGGCTGCAATTTGAGCTGGATTGAAGCCCTTGAGTAACTTAGCACTTGTATTCACATTTTGCACACACCTCCATCTGCTCCCATGTGGCCTGTCACTGACTCTCTATCTCCCTTTTTTCTCTCTCGCAATTGCACGCTCTCACATCATTTTCCTGTTTCTCATTCTGCCTCGTCCTCCACCGTCTTCCGTCTAGAGCAGGGGTTCCCAAACTTTTCAGCCCGCGACCCCCAAAATAACAGTGCCAGAGACTGGCGACCCCTGTCAAAAAAGTTTGAGAAACACTGAAAGGGGGAGCCTCGTTGCGGGGAAATTATACAGATGGCTAGTCCGCCCCTGAAAATGTCTATGCAAACGTTATTATTAATAATAATTAAAAAAAATCATCAATCTTTTTTAATACATTTTTTTTATTTTTTTTATTTTCCATTTTTATTTTGGAATCATCCCGCGACCCCCACTCGGGGTCTCGCGTACCCCACTCTGGGAACCCCTGGTCTAGAGGACCTGCTTATTCCTACTTATTTATTCGATTCATCCCTCCCATGTCCTTCACTGCCTTTCTCTCTTCTTCCCCTATCTCTCCTAGTGTTTTGAACATCCACCTGCCATATTCTGTCAGGGTTTCTGATTGTTCTTTTTCCTCTATTGCTTTTCAAATGCTCTCCATGTTCCTTTCTTTGTTAGCTGTATAAGAACTGTGAACAGTGGTAGTCACTGCAGGAATTTCTCATGCTCCATTTCTACTATATGAATAGTACGATAGTAAGCCCTGCCTTTTCCTATTATATTCTGCATCAACGCTATAGCAGTCTTCCACTCAAAACCAAGGATATTTGAAACATTTCACCGGATTTTAATTTCAGCCTGTGAAAGAAAAACAATGTTTAGGCTAACACTCTTTCTCTACTGTGACTGACCCGCTACTGTAAGCCGCTGCCTTCTACTGTAGCAACACATCACTATTTGGCAGATATATATATATATATATATATATCTAGTATCTATATATATATATATATATATATATTGTTCCCGTTAAGATATCTGTATTGATTTCCGCTGGCTCAAAAGTAAATATTCAGCTGACACTATTGATCGACAGTGTGGGGCTGCGGTTATGTGGGCTCTCTGTGGTAGGTGCCTTTTTCCTGTATGCAGTGTGTTGGCATGCGTGTCTCCCTGTGTGTTTGTCCGTATAGGCAGAAGAGTGATCAATACATCTTAGCATCCAGGGAGTGTCCTAGCTTTGTCATAAAAAAAACATTTTTGTCAATAACCTAGATACTGGCTCCAGTTAAGGTATGGAGTGATTTATTTAGTCAATTAACCTACTACTGCCATTTATCAGCCACGTCTACATATAGCTTCAACTTTATTACCTTTCACCTCTCTTTCATGATGTAAATAACAAGTCAATTTCATTTCACTGCAAAATCTCAAGAGTGACGTTGCAGAGGCTCCGTGTTTTGTCTGAAGTGAGACTTTAAGACTCAAAGTACTATACAAGGCATAAGACCAGACTATTTAAAAACCCAACTCATAGGCCAAATGTATTAATGTACAACCAAGGAGTTGGGTCAGGGTTGGAGAAAATTCTCAGAAAAACGAGTGAGGGAAAGAAGCAAGTAGAGAAATAAATAGAGTTATAGGAAGGGAGAATGAGATAAAGATAGCATTAGAACACAGAGGACACGTCTAATGGTGCTGTCTGCTGTTTTCCAGGAACAAAGCAACTGGTCTTATACAGATGTACCCATCATAGGTCACAAGTATCAGCTGTCTGTTGGCTGAAAGAGAGAAAATATGTTTTTTGTTAGAGAATGAATGCAATCATCAGACCTCTTTGTTTATCTTTAATTTATCATGGCTGATACTTGTGAACAACAAACAGAAAAACAAACCTAAACAAACCGACTGACTGTTACAATAGTACTTTGTTTTGGACAGTATTGTTATAACCAGCAGTTTTTCAAAAGTGCCATATATCAAGTATGAACATATGAGCCAATCACAATAGGCTTGGTCCTGCTCCGGTGAATGGTGCATAGTGACGATATCATCAGGGTTGGCGCAGTGGGTTGGCAATGAGGCTCTCTGCAGTGGGCTCCTGGGACACTGCTCCCCCTGCCTGGGACGAGATCACCAAAATATGCTGAGATTTGGTTTATTCAGACGGTCGGACCAAATGGAAGTGACAAACAGCATGTCAAGTGTGTGTGTGTGTGTGTATAATATGTTTCTTTCTGTGCCTAAATCCCTGTGTCTGCTTGCTAAGTGTGCGTTCATGTGTGCCGCCTACCTGTGTCTACATCCAGTGTGTGCACATGTGTGTCTGTCTCTCACAGTGTTGGTTGTTGTGTCTGCGTAGTGAAAGTGGATGTAGTTTCTTCTTTTTTTGTTTATTCTTTATTTATTTGGGGTCACATTATAATACAAGTACAGTTTTTCCAATCATATATTTTTAGAGACCCGAAAGTTACAAATGAAACTTTAGTCAAAATAAAATAAAAACGAAAAAGTACACAGGGGTTGTTTGAAATACCAAATGTCTACACATATACATATGCATACATATCAACATACACATTCAATACACATACATGTGACCATACATACAGTACACATCTATACATATACATTCAATCGGTGTATAGAAACACAGTCAAACAAGGGATGGTCGTCTTTTGGATATGTAAATTCTCCATTTTTTCCATATTTCTTCAAAAGTATTTCCTGAAGCCTCATTGAGAAGGTGATTCTTTCCATAAAATAGATTTCATGGATTTTGTCGTACCAGTTGTCAAGAGAAGGGATGTCCGCTTTGAGCCATTTTCTAGTTATTGCTTTTTTTGCTGCAACAGTAAGAATTCCAAATAATTGTTTTGTTTTGGAGTTTGTGGGGATTGAATGTACGAGCCCAAATAGAAATCCGTCCCAGTTTAAAGGTATTTTTTCCTGTAGTATTATTTCAATTTCGATATGGATCTTTTGCCAAAAAGTTACTATTAAAGGGCAAGCCCAAAACAAATGGTAGTGATGTGCTAACTGAGAACCACATTTCCTCCAGCAGCTGGGGGGCCCTAGATGATGTGATGACTGAGCAGGGCTGAAAAAGTACCTGCTGCAGGTACTTTTTCAGCCCTGCTCAGTCATCACATCATCTAGGGCCCCCCAGCTGCTGGAGGAAATGTGGTTCTCAGTTAGCACATCACTACCATTTGTNCTTCGCTTGTATATCACCGGTCCATGCCTCAACAGCTCTATGTCAAATCTGAGATCTCACCATAGGCTGTTTCCATGGAAACTCATCCCTCACCATAAAACACAAAGTTGTCGTAACTCATATGAAAATGGTCAAAACACCACCAGACTTCAGATGACAGTTAATGGTCCAGCCCTCAACATGTCTATGTGCCATTAGTGAGTTTTCCTCAAAAGCAGTTGCCATGGCACCTTGCCGTAAAACGCGATGTCGCTATAACTCCTATGAAAATGGTCAAAAAGTGCTCAAACTTCACATGTGTGCTAACAGTCCAGCCGTGAAGACATCAATTTGACAGCTTTAAGATTTATTCAAATGCCGTTGCCTTGGCAACACAATGCTCGCTATGAAACAGTTTTCTCATAACTTCCGTGAAAATGCTCCAAACGGCCCAAAACTTCACAGGTTTGGTAACGATGCAGCCATCAACACATCAAAGCCTTATATGGGGTGTCATCAAATGCCGTTGCCATGGCGACAGATCATTCGCCATCAAGTTAGTTCAAAAGTTTGCGGTTCAAATATTCTGCTGCTTATCCAAGCCTTTTTACTTTCTTTAATTCTCTTATCACACATTCAAGCCTCCAATGTTCATGTATAATTTCAATCTAAATTCTTCACTTTCTTCTTACACATTACATTTCAGCATAGCAGTTCATCGTCAGCTTTTCAGCATAAAGCATTCCCACTAGCAATTTCTTCAGGAATTGCATTCTCTAGTTTCTTTTGGTACCGGTG